GTAACTCGCTCACTATTGGACTGATTTACATCAAATTTTGGAATTTTGCATTTCTCAACAAGGGCTTTCTTTCTATGTAAGTCTTATGTCATGATTACCCAATTAGGGGATTTTGCCCAGTCCCACACGGTTTGAAATCCGGCAATAGTTAGTAACTATGAATAAACTAAATACACTAAGCCAGGCTCTGTAGCAAAATATGCCAGTCAACGTAAGAGCTCAATGAAATATTTTCTGTTTCACGAGTTACTTTTCCGCTTCAAGAACTACGTACGAGTCAACGAGTGACGTGTCTAGACAAAAAGCTGACCGACACCCCTTTGCGGTCTAAATGACTTCCGCAATTTGAAGCATATTATTTTAAATCAATATCGTTCAAATAACACGCGATAGTACAATATGCCTTGCTTTTCTCTGTGTCATTTTTTTAAATAATAAAAAAATTAAAATTAAAATTATTTTACAGACACAATGGTCAACCGATTGAAGATTGACCGATTCATCAGTTCCTTACTGCAAGTATGCGGAACCTGACATTGACCTAAATTGCTAAACTCACTGCTTTTAATTGGCCATTCCGAAATTCAAAAGGAGACTGGGAACGAGTGTGAAAATATTCCATTCATCGAAAACTGAACCTCACCACATGAAAGACCACACTACAATCAGTGTTCTTGTCAAGTTTGAACTTATTTGGTTGAATACTCACCGAGTAGGAGTTTTTTTCAAATTTGTAAAAATAAGAGAGAATGTATGKTTTTTGGGGACGCTGCTCAAAACCTCCATAAATTATTTGTAATTTTTTCGAGTTTTAAACGCTTATTTAATTATTAATTCGAATACCCTCAAACTCAGCAGCTTTACCAATTTTACTATGCTCTTTCTTGTCCTGGTGTTTTTTGATTGCTTAGAACGGTAGTATCGAGTTTGTGACTAGTCACCAGTCCCTTTTTGAATTTCCGAACGGGGAATGAATCACTTCTATAGGCTGAAAGCGCTTACTCCAKGGCTAAAAAATAACGGCCAGTCAATGTCTCGACACATTGACAGTTCAAACAAATTTTTGAATGGACATAGGTTTAAAAGTAAAAAATATAATAATGAAAACAACAAYAACCGACTTTCGATATTTTGGTTGACTAACAGGCCCGTAGGCTGCCTTACCAATGGGGGGTTCGTTTTTCATAATGCGGACCTAAATGAAATGTGTAAGTAAATTAGTTCAATGCACATGTATAGTGTGTAAAACTGGCTGCTAGTATGAGCAGTTCATAACAAAATAACCTCAAAAACAGTTCAAGTAACAGTTTTTTTTTGTTAAAACACTCGAAGATAAAATCCGTATCTCCGCGCGCCCATGTAATATCCTCATATATTAAAAATAGTAATTTTTATGTAATTCTTAGTTAATATAATATAAAATACATGACTTTTTTTTCAAATAGCGCTTCATTGTTTTATAATTTGACCGGTTAAGATGACTTGCCTATTAAATAACGTTTAACCGGACAACTGTTAATTTTGACCGCTCATTTTCTGTTGACCGAAAGTTATTTTGACCCTCGGACTTCTTGAGAGATCTTTTCAACACTCAAAGATAAAATCCGTATCTCCGTGCGCCCATGTAATATTCTCTACATATTCCTCACTTTCRAAAATTGTAAATTCTATAGTGAAAAAAAAAACGCACTCTATGTGAGAAATACAGAAAATAGATCTTTTAATCCACCAATAATCATGATAATACAATATTTTGATTTCTTCCCCAAGATAAAAGCATATATATCATTTGTGTTCCCTCAGACCAAATTATTTATCATTAAATAGAGTGGACGTCCTTAATCCGTGAAACAAATACAACCGATTAAATCAAATACACAAAAAGCTCCGTTAAGATTCTTGTAGAAATCGTCGTAAAAATATGTTTTGAGATAAATGATAAAATGGTGCTCACTGATCATGCGCGAAAGGCATGCAGGGTCGGATCCAGAAATGTTCCAGAGGGTGGGTCCAGAGGGTGGGGAATTTACTGATCCAAATATATTTTAAAAACGTAACATTTTTATAACAAAATTTTTCCGATCGTTATCGAGATTCTCAATATTGTGACGTGTGTGTCAACAAAAAACAAAACGCACTAAAAAATTATGTACGGTTTTATTTTGCTTTTTTTTCATTATCGTCTTTGAAGAAATTAGAAAGAGGAGGGGGGAAAGGGAATTCCCCMTTTTCAACTCCCGGAATCCGCCCCTGACATGTTAAACGTGAAGGCTAATGTTCTTTTTTTTAAATTACTTTAGTGTTCAGGGACAGAAATTTTTATACCGGTTTTTATAAGGAATGTTTCAAGAATTATTAACAAAGGTTTGCGCATGTATTTTGTACGATATACAAGCCCGCGTTATTTTCAAAGGCAAGATACAACAGATCAAATAAACAGTTGATACAACAGGTTAGTCATATGATTGTCTCATGAGCACGTACACTTACGGTTAAAGTGGTGTAATGCACTAGTCAATTGAAACTCCTGCCCCCCGACCCTCGCGGCTAGCGGGGCACTGAACGGGGACGTGCCACGTGTTTAACGTGCTTTTAACAGCAAGATTGCCCCGGGGGGTCGGGATTTTGATGAATTGTTTTCGGGTTGAAGCGGGGCAATGAACATGTCTGAGACTGTTTTTCTCCGTCCAGTCTCATGTAGTACGCAAATGAGTTCACAGGATTGTGCAAAAATTAACCTTGTGTATCACAGAAAATTTGATTGAAAGGTCTTTATTTTGTTATTTACTACTACCAAAATAGCGGGGCAACAGGAGCGGGGATTTTAACAATGAATGTGCCCCCGACTACCGGGGAAAATATCTTAATTAAACACCACTCAAACGTTAAATTCCCCGGTAATCCCCGGAGGTCGGGGGGGGGGGGGTGTTCCAATTGACTAGTGCATAACCTTGTGTTGGGTTATGGCGTGTACGACTCTTAACCCCCTAATTAAGTTAATCGCGTATTTAAATATCGGTCTAAGTTGTATAAACCGATGTACCTGCTGACCTTTTGACAACCATGCGTTGCCTTCTATATCGTACTTTAAAATCTCTTACGAATAATATTAATAATAATACKGATTTGGCGCGTCGTCTCTATTACTCAAAGTCGTAGTAATCGACATGACTACCAGACGAAAACTCATCTTTGATTAGAATTTTCAGTAATTTAGATGCTGATTCTTCTGGCTTAAGTCCCTAAAAAATGMACAAAACAATTTTAATATAATACTCAAAATATAATAGACTTAATGGTAAAAATGTTGCCACAGAGAAATAGAACATTCATCATAAACTTAAATCAAATAATGAATACATTAAAAAAACATCACTCAGACCTAAAACTCTTTCCTAAATACCAAACATTGTTTAATACAAATGAAAGTAATTCCTAATACAGTAAACACCTGAAAATAAGAACCTTGTTTTTTGAAAGTCTGGTAAAAAAGGTTCTCAGCGCCGTAGCCACGATAAGGCAAGCGTCGAGGCACTTGCCTCGGTAAACTTTTATCGAGTTCTCTTTAATTCTTATCCAAAATAAATAAGTTCTATCAATGGTAAGATAAAAAAGTTACAATATGCTTGGCAAAACGCTGGAAATCACGTCTCCGAGTGTCTGAATTTCAAAATGTTTCGGGGAAGCATGCCCGCGAACCCCCTAGATATGACCGCTTCCGCATAAAGTGCCTCGGTTAACATTATCCTCTAGCTACGGCGCTGGTTGCAATTTTGGCAAAACAGGTTCTTAATTGCTAATAGGGGGGATACAGTTGTTACTGTTTTGCATATATATCATAAGAATAAAAATAAGCTTGATACATATATCTAAAATACTTAGGATACTACGCGCGCTGTGATTGGTCGAAAACCATGTTTGATTACAGTATCAAAACACGCTCGTGCGCATCAAAAATTTCTTTTACTCTTTTAATTTTAGAAAAGAAATAAAAGACGAAGAAATTCCGTGTTTGATACTCTGATCAAAACACTTGGGATGTAGGGAGAGCACTCGAAAAGCTGGAAACCACTCCGCTAC